AAAAAAATGGTGAGAGAGTGAAAGAGAACAGAATGGAAGGACATAGGTGGTTCATATATTGGAGTTAAACTCACAAGCATTTAAAACTACTATGGTGAATATTCTAGCAAATAGAAAACAGGACAAAATACTTATCAATGATAAAGCTCCCTTATCCACATGTGAAGAATGAAATTAGATCCTTCTGTCATCATATAAAAAAATCAAATAAAAAAAAAATCAACGCAAAATAGGTAAAAGACTGAAATGTAGGATATGAAAGTGTAAAACTCTAAAAGAAAAACAAGAGAATAACTCCATGACTTTGATCTGGGCAATGATTTTTTTTTAGGTGACTCCAAAAGTATAAGAAACAAAGTCAAGAAAAGAAAAATTAGATTCCATCAAATTAAAAAGTTCTTCAGAGCAAAACTATCATCAGAGTGAAGAGACTATATATAGAATAAACCATACATCTGGTAAGGGTTAATATTAAAAGCACATAAGGGACTCATAACACTCAACAGGAAGAAAACATATAGCCTGATTTAAAAATGGGCAAAGGACCTGAGCAGGTATATCCCGAGACATACTAAAGGAATTCAACATTTCTAATCATCAGGGAAATGCAAAATAAAACCACAATGAGATATCATCTCTCACCTATTTAGAATGGTCATTTTCAAAAAGAGAAAAGATAAGTATTAGCAAGGGTGTGAAGACGAGGGAACCTATGCACATTATTGGTGGGAATGTACTTTAGTAGAGCCACCATGGAAAAGAGATGGTGGTTCCTCAAAACATTAAACACGGATCTATTATATGACACATCAATTCCACTACTGGTTATGTATCCAAAGGAAGTGAAATCATTATCTATAAGAGATATATGCACTTTCATGATCACAGTAGCATTATTCACAATAACCCAGATATAGAATCAACCTAAATGTCCATAATGGATGAATGGAAAAAGAAAACAAACATGTATTCACACTGGAATATCATTTGCCCTTTAAAAAGAAGGAAATTCTATTATTTGTGACAACATAGGTAAACTGGGAGGACAACTTAGTTAATAATGATGTATTGTACACTTGGAAATTGCTAAGACAGTATATTTTAAATGTTCTCACCATAAAACATTAAATATTTCAGGAAATGCCTATGTAAATTAGCTTGACTTATCCTTTCCATAGTGTATACCTATTTTAAAACCTCATGTTGTATACCATAAACAATAATAATAAAAGATAAGGATTATTAAAATATAACAGTCAAATGGAAAGAAAATAGAGGTTGGGACCCAATATTTTCCACTTTTCAATGCAGGAAATATTGGCTTTTTTTCATTTCTTCCTCCTTAACTGATTGCTTACACCCCCTAACTTACCTTCGATCTTCAAAAATTGTTGTCATTTTATGCTTTCATGAAGAGCACAAAAGACACATGTAGTTTTGAAATTCCCTCTATTGAATGAAATACATGAAAGTAGCTTCAAGAAGAGACACCATATTTAACAGAAAGAGTATAGGTTATGAATCTGATACCCATGCTCAAACTCTCCCACCCACTCAGTTTGTGTGATTATAGGACACTCTGAATCTCAGTTTTTCCTCTACCATAGAAATAGATTGAGACTTACCTTAAAGATTTGTTTTAAGCAACTAATAAGATTCTTTCTATAGGTAGAGCTTAAAGTATCCTGGATGGCCAGTGATACCTCCTCTGCTGTTTGCTATGACCAGCAGTAAGAAGCACATGCAAAACTGGTAATTATGGACTTCAGAATGAAATATTATCTTTCATCTATCTAATGTTATATCACCAACGCAGATGAAAAAAATACACAACCTGGGATTTTCTTTATATCTTTTATAATGCAGAATGGTAATGATTAGCAAAAATGTTCATGCAATATAGGTTAGTGAAAACCACAGCTTCCTAACCCCTTAACTTGGTTATTGCAAATATCTGGGACAAGGCTCTGGTTGTCACACGATGCTCTGCATGCTCTGGCTCGCCTTTCAACAATCATTCCTATTAAATCCTTTGTGTCTGACACATCTAATAAAGTCATGTTCACGATCAGCTTAATCACAGGATGGAGTATAGTACATATTTTGACAGGAAAGCTGTTAGTATAAACTGAAACATGTAGCAAATATATAATTGCATAAAATGTTCATTATTCTTTCAATCTAACAATCTTCGGCTTGAATCCTTTTATGCATATTTAGTCTTTTTAAGATAGATTGTTTTGGGTACTGTTCTAACAAAAAGATTAGTTTCAAGCAATATCCATGCCAAACAATTGGTGTAGTGAGCAATTGTAAACACAGCAGACTCTGAGCCATATATTTTATCTGAAAATCTTTAAGTTCTGGAGAAATCACACATCTCTAGATAAATGATATACATCATTGAAAATGATTCTAGTTTTATGCACATGAAAATATACAAGAACCAAACTAAGTTTAGAGAAGTCACCTATACATAATATTTTCCTAGAGTGCTGGTAATGAACTCCAGTTTGGGCTTCTAGCTAATTGTTTAATTATTCAATGACTGACTGAGTAAATTTTTATATCAAAGTCTTTTTAAAGTGAGGTTATAACCATTTGCCTTTGCAGTTATAAATGATTTCCAAGACCTGTGTTGTTAGAGCTCAGCACTAATTAAAAATGAGACTTACATCACTCTCATGCCCTTCTCGAAGGTTGTATGTGAGGTCATGCTGAATGTCTTCCACGAATTTGTGAGCGTATTCTGGGTAAAGGTCTAACACTTCAAAGAG